TTCGTTTTCTACGAAAAATTTCTACACTTTTAGAATCGCATCTTGAAGCTAGAACTTGAAACAAGTTTCTTCTATCAATTTTAACAGGAAATTCATTCTCATTAATTATTCATTAACAATTAACGCGTCATACTTCTAACACATCGAAAACGTTATATTATAAATTTATTAATAACTCATTTTTTAATTAAAATTTTAACACTTTTAAGATTGCATCTTAAAACTAGAACCTTCAGCAAGTTTCTTTTATCAATTTTAATAAAAAATTCATTTCCATTAATTATTTATTAACAATTAACGCGTCATAGTTCTAATATATCGAAGACGCAATATTAAAAATTTATTAATAATTCATTTTTTAATAAAAATTTCGACACTTTTAAGATCGTATTTTAAAACTAGAACCTTCAGCAAGTTTCTTTTATCAATTTTAACAAGAAATTCATTTCCATTAATTATTTATTAACAATTAACGCGTCATAGTTCTAATATATCGAAGACTCAATATTAAAAATTTATTAATAATTCATTTTCTAATAAAAATTTCGACACTTTTAAGATCGCATCTTAAAACTAAAACCTTAAGCAAGTTTCTTCTATCAGTTTTAATACAAAATTCTTTTCCATTAATTATTTATTAACAATTAATGCCTCATATCGAAGCGACATGATATGCGATAGATTTTTTATTAATTTTTCATGATATGGGAATTAATTTATTTATGTAATTATATATATTGAAACGTTGTTTCTTCTCCTATTTTCACGTCTAAATTTTATTTAGAATTTCACTCTTATTTAAATAAATAAACTAATTGTTTATTACTCGGTTACAGAGATGGGGATATACGATGAATACATTCTTCATAATAATCGTTAATAACTAATTAATAACAATGAATTTCCTGTTAAAATTGATAGAAGAAACTTGTTTCAAGTTCTAGCTTCAAGATGCGATTCTAAAAGTGTAAAAATTTTGCGTAGAAAACGAGTAATTAATGAATTTTCAATATGGCGTCATCAATAGATTAAAAGTATGACGCAATAATTATTAATAAATAATTAATTCAAAGGAATTTCATGTTAAAATCGAGATGGGAAACTTGTTTAAAGCTCTAGCTTCATATTGCACGCTCAAAAGTCTTAAAATTTTTAATAAAAATTGAGTTATTAAGAAATTTTCCATGTAGTGTTTACCGAAGTGGTGGGGGATGCTCTCTGTCCTTCTCGCACAATGTTGCTTTCCTTGTCTTTGAGATCGCATTCCTCCTTGCATATCCTGCTATGCTAGTAACAAGTCGGAGCTTCGCGGATCCAAACGCGAGATGGCGTTGATCAAAATTTTTCGATCGTTACCTAAGTTATCGACATAATGTGTAGTTTAAATTTATGGAATTAAAGAAACATAACCACAATTATAATATTCAAAAATAGTGAATATGAAATATTTGAAAAACATTGAAAAAATCCGCATATTTATAAATGTTGCGAAACAAGAAAGTTAGAAAAGTATTGGGAAAAATAAGAAGAGGATATTTTTTAGAAAAAGAGGAAAAAAAAAAGGTAAAAAATATGAAAATATATAAAAATTTATTTAATAATTTTTGTCGATGCCACAAAATTCGAAATCTCGTAAAACTAAAAACAAAATATTAATAAAATTTCATATGCCACTTCTTTTTCAATTAAATTCTCCTGTTATGAAATCTTGAATTTGAACAAAATTTTATGCAATGAAAAAAATCTTATATAAGAAAATATTTGAGAAAGAATACCATACCAATGTTTATTCCTATTTACATAAATTTTGCAATTTTAATTTAAAAGAATATAATTTATAATTTTAAAATAAAAATTTTTGTAGCAATATTTAATAAAAACTAAGAATTAAATTATCACATTGTTCGAACATCGATATGCACGAAATATTTTTATACAATACGTGACTTATCGTTATGTTACGAAACAAATATTGAAGAATGTCCGAAGAACACGTGCTTTGTGTCCATGTCATCAACTATTGGGATTCTTCTGTTTTTAAAAATTCCATTATAAAGATAGAAAATAATATCGTGCACATAAATATAATATTATATAGGATAATGTATTGAAGATTTACATTGAATGAATCATTGACAATGTAAAATATAAGATAAAAAGGCAATATGGTTTCAAACATCATAAAGGTAAATCTTTTTAATATTTTCTTTATACTATTTAAGATCAGAGAAATTAGATTTATTTTAAAGTTGAAATACACATTAACGCAATTTTCTCATTTATTATATTATTACAAACTAAAATCCGTTTATTCAACTTTCTGCATAAACTACATCATTCCGTCGTTCTATGATATCCTCGGTTTCATTTAAGCAAATTTCAAACTACGAATATTATCATGATTTCAGATCTCATGATACATGTAGAAGACAATTCATTTGTGCGTTTCGAGATGGAAATCTGTTAAATCCGGACTTTCGTTCAAATTCCAACTTCCAGAGATATGAACATGATCAATAGATTATCAGGTTAAACAAAAATTATTAATAATTTATATAAATTCAAATTAAAAAATAAAAAATGAAAGTAAGTCTACACATGGAATTAACATTTGATATATAATTTAAATAATTATAAAAATCAAACTAACTTTTATATAATTTTTAGTGAGAAATTTTGAATTGAATTAAAGACAATATAAATACCTACAAATCATATCCTGGATTATATATACTCAGTTTAAAGGCAAAATTAGAGATAGAAGAGTTAAAGATTTAAAATGTAAATGTGATTTCGAATGCGAAGATATAAGTAATGAAAATTGGCAAAATAATAATTCTTATATAATTTATGAAAAATATATATAATTTATTTGCAAAAAAATGAAATTACAATAAAATTATAATTTCTTATATTGTTTTTTTCTTAAAAAAACAAATTAAAGAAAAGTTAAAAAAATATATATTTTAAAAAAATCGTATTCTGATTCAACGCCAAAATACATAATCTCTTGAGATTCGCCGCACGTCTTGAAATTCTCTGCGACCCGGATGAGATTTTATTTATGAAGACCGTTTTTCGAGCGTTGGGTGTTGCGGGAATTTTATCGTATTGTCACACATATTCCTCCTTCGTGATCTCGGTCGCTTCGCGGATTGACGAGGACGCGAGAAAGCGGATCTTGCGGGCGTAAAACCTGAGGAGGAATCTTGGAATGCGTGACTTCAATCAATGGAAGAAATTTTTAATCATGAATAATATTTGATGAATAATATGTGAAAAATATTTATAAAACAGGTAATTCTATTAATTTATAAAATATAGAAATAAGAAAATAATTGAAATATGTTTTATTCTTGAATATTCAACTTAAAAAGATAAGTACAAATATTTGATTTAAGAAATAAATAAAATATGTGTATGAAATAGATAAAAAGTTTTTAATCTTTAAAATTTTAACTCTAGAAAATTGGAGAAAAATTTCATAGAACAAATATCATGGAATGCGTGGCTTGTAATCAGTAGCGAAGATTTTTGATTGCTGACGAATATAATGGGAATTTTTGGTAGTTGCCAACAAATTTTATGACTCGTTTCTGGACTTGATTTATGCGACATCTCTGACCATTGTATTCTCAAGAAAGAGAGAAAAAGATCCTGGTTCGGAATTAGTCTCGATGACGTAATTTAACGAAGGGCCCTGAGATGGAATTTATGATAGTATCGTCAGTGTAGGAGATTTTCGATTTACGAAATTCTTTTCTTACGAAGAAATCGAGGAAATTAAGAAACTTCTAGTAATTGAGAAGTAAAGTGAAAGAAGAAAAAAATTGTGAAGTTAATTTACGTAATACGTAATCTTTAATCTAATTGCACAGTGATTGGAAGTATGCTTCTTGAGGTAGTGAACAATGAGTTCAATTGTTACCTATTAAAGTAAAGGAAATCTATTGAGATAGATATTGAAAATACTAAAAATATATTTAGATAGTAATACAAATGAACAAAAAATAATTGTCTATTTGAAATTAAAACTTTTAAATAGAAAAATGTTAATGAAGTTATTTAAAATTATCAAATGAATAAGAAAAAGTTTAATAAAATAGCTTGTAAATTTTCTGAAACTACAAAAACTTCAATTAACTTCAAGAAAGTGGCAAGACATTTTTTAAAACAGAGAAATACTTAAGAAAGATTTTATTAAAAAATAGAAAGTCTTTCAATGAATTTTGATATATCTTCAATTTGTTAATGATTTCGTACTTCGAATTTTCAATCAGTTATATTATTATTCATTAAAATATCAAAAAATAATTGATGAAAAAGGAAGTAGACAAAATTTGATTTCTTTATCATGTGTAAAATATTTATCATAAAATTCCCACAATAATTTTCTCTCTATTATATTTTATTTTAAAATAATTTCAAAGTAACACATATATCAAATTCATTAATATTATTTGTTTTTTTTTTTACAAATTTTTTTTCAGCAAAAATATCCATTCGACGAAAATCCTCATGGATGACACTTGACATGTGATGGAACACGTGCAGTTTGAATAGCTTCGTTGCGGATCGCACAAAATACGGTGGTTGAATATTTCGTACCGGAAAATGTACTCTTACTAGCGATATATGCTGTACACGTTTGACCCCCGTGCGTGAATTTTTAACAAACTTAAGCAGATTCCCCGATCCGCCGCCGCGTGTCCATTCGCAAGAATGCGGTTTATTGACCCCGCGGTTACAGATCGGTGAACCTGATGGCGGGGCTCTTTCGTACGCCGGCCTACACTGTCCAACCCAAATTCTACTCTTGAAATGTCAATGTCGAGGCAACTATAGACAACGAGAAATTGGTGGACGTGGGAGGTCGGTGAAATCGATAGAGAAATAGCGCAAAACGGTGTAAATTCGTTATTCTATGCGAGAACATTGTATTTCATGTTGAGTATTGAAAGTTTTTAAAAATGACTCTTTTTTTTTTTTATTTTTTTTTTTTTAAGGTAATTGAATTTTTTTTAATTTATTTTTTAAATTACATCGAGATAGCAATATAATGGTTATTATTATTTCAGCATAGGTGAATATTGTTCAATATTCATGAAAAACTGGTTAGAAGCCATGGAACGATCGTATCGCGACTTGACCCGATTCGAACAAGCTAATAGGAGTAAGACTTTCGCTTCCATGACAGACACAATTGCCAAACATCTTCCGGAATTCTTCGCCATAGCTCAGATAATTAACCTTTTCCCCTAGAACCTTTAACGACTTCGATACGCTCAAGCTCCGATTCGTTCTCTTCGAATCGAGATAAGTATCCCCTTTATCCTATATAGTCCAAATCGATTCACATTGGTAACTGTTCTTTTTCTTTCTATTCGTTTTCCACTTTAATTCTGCATTCTATTCTCATTGAGATTAAAAAAATGCCATATTCGATAATCTTGAAATAAAATAAAAGAAAATTAGTTTCCACTATTATTGGATTTAAGTTAATACTTTTTTTAATTCTTTTCAGATTTCGTTTTTAAAAAATAAAATGAAGCTTGCTAAAAGCAAGAATCGCAAATGGTAAAAATTGAGGAAACTCCAAACTGCATTAGATTGTAAAATTTTATTTTCTTCATCTTCCTTCTTCAATTCACGAAATGTTCGCAAGACCGGTTGTCTCGGAATGATTGGAACGTCAGGAATGCACCGGTATCAGGATGCGAGGCTGGAAAACATAACTCGTTGGACGATTACGAGTATATTAATGAAGCGGATATATCGTGAAACATTGGAGGGCGTTATAAATGTGTTGAAAGTATAATGAAGTCGAGAACATGCCGTAAGGGTTTTAGAATTGATCAAAGATTAGCGGCCGTATGTTTTTTCGTATCTTCATGAGAGATAGCGGAGAGCCTCGAGAGACTTGTTGCAAAACGTATAGTTTTCAAGGGAATCTATCGAAGAAAATTAATTCGGGCACGTGGAATAAATGAAAGATATGGATGTAAGTGAAACATTAGAAGGATGTTGAAGGATGTTGTTCGTACAAGAAGAGATAAAGCAAAATATTGATGCTTGCACGTAGGTAGTATTTCGATTGAAATAATGTCTGCGATAACTGGTTGACGTGCATAATTTATATTCTTATGCGTGGGATATGGTTAATTTCATTAGTCTGTTCGAATTTGAATTTTTAAAACATATGTACAGTCAAGTTATACCTAGTGTAGTGAAGAGACGTGTATCAATATGTAGAATATAAAAAAAGAAAAGTATAAATTAAATACATTGACAAAACAAATACATGTTTTATGAATGTATTTATACTATCAAAATCATAGGATGTGAAACTATATTCTCGAGACGGCCTCGAGATTAAGAAATCAGTCACGGGTCAACAAAAATTAAAGCATCTTGAAGTCTTAAAGACAAGGTCGTAAAATTCATCAAAGAACAATCCAAAGATAAAAAAAAATATACATTTTTATAACTTTGATATCATGAAACTCATCAGAGATCATTAAATACTAGATTTCACTTTCCTTGACTCACGATTAGATATATTTCAAAGTCTTTTCGAAGATATTTCAATTTCAATTAGTTTATTATCAATCTTACAATTACAGGATTATGAACATTGATTATTCAATTAATCTAATAGCTTCGACTATTGAAATCAAGAAAGTTTAAATCTTCAACTTCTACATAATTGATAGTAAGTATTGATCCCAGAGATTGCAAAGATTATTTACAATTAATCTCTCTTGTAACAAGTATTGTTTTTTTCTAGTTTCTCTTGAGCCGTTCGTGATAAATTTCACGGATTAAAGATCAAAGAGTTCAAAGTTTCATTCTTGTTTTAAAACACCTTACAAGTTTTTTATTCGCTAAAAAATGACTGAAATTCCAGACATGTTAAACGACATATAAAAAGACATATTTCACATCAAAAGTTCAACATCAGATTAACGAATTATTTGGTCTTATTCGGATGCTGCAAGTCGGCAACAGTAGTACAAAGTCTCTTTCTCTGAACTGCCGCCAGTACAATCCGTGCATGGCATAACAGGACAACTGAACATGGAGATCTCTAGTATTCTATTCCAAAATGATAGTTGATTTTTCACTGTGACAACTGTACACTAAGCTGATTATGGTAACGACAAATCACGGTCGTGATGTGCGTTAAACGGTTGCATGCTTTTCTGTAAAATAATCTCCTTGTCCGCATGTCCTTCCTTTCAAGAACGTAACCATATAGGGTGAAAGTCAGTGAACTATTCAGGCTATGATACCGTGAAATTGTTACTTATGACCTCGCTGTCGTTGCGCTTCTGCGAAATCTTAATTAGTTCTAACTTCTTATCTTGATCGAACGTCTCTTAAAGTTCCTAATGAAATGCGAATTAACTACGAGTAAGCTGGAAACTTGGACTTGAGTGGCCTTACAATCTTTTTAAAACGAACAGCCGACTCATGAATCGTATTATATCTCTGTCATGGAACAAATTGAATAACAAGTACTGATTAACCTGTTGCTGAAGCAAAGATTCTCATTAAGCTCGGATATTAAAGCTGTTGAATAAAGACATAGAAACGTAAGATGAAGAGCTTATTTCAATTTTGATTTAATTTAATTTCGAAATTGTAAAGATATCGGAATAAAAGTTGAAAGAAATTTAAATTTCTTTTCGAATATTTAGAAATTGTTTTTGCATCGAAATTTTAAAAAAACTGTGTGTTATTTCGAAGTTTGTTTTATTTGCAAAGTAAAAAACGAGAAAAATACGTATTAATCAATTTTTCATGAATAATAAAATTAATTTTTTTCATAAGTTTTCTCTATTTAAAAATAAATAACAAAATTAAATCTATATAAGAGAATTTACAAATTGTCAAACAGTAAAACCACTATGTTGCAGATAAATCAACGAACAACAGCCACTTTCTAATGCTTCTCTCGTTCGCCAGATACAACTAATAGCACGAGTAACATCGTCGCAAAACATTGAACTTCGAAAATGGCAAATCATTACATGTAGTACGAGGAGTGGTGTGGAGCATTTTAATTTGTTAGCCTGTCAATATGTCTTAATTTATATACAACTGTTCTGCACCTGTTGCCATTGTTGGCGTATCCTCGAGATCGATGAATTATCGATGCCATCAATCCATAAAGATTATGATCACGAGAAAATAACTCTCGATCTGAAAAGTGACGTGTTTATTGAATAATTGAATTGATAATAATTTTTCTAAATGCATTAATTACTCGTTTGAAATATTTCGCCGATTAATAATCGATCTGGATAATCGTCGCTGCGAAACCTGAAAATCACAATTATAATATAATAATAATAATATTAGATATAAAAAACGAAGAAATAACAATGAAACGTAAATACAATCCTGACATGAAGATGGGAACGCACGAACATATCGTAAAACTTGTCGTTTGCGCAAGCGATCCGTTAGAGAATTCGTGTTGTATCAGAAAATCGACCATAAAATCGGCATAGTTTACCTGAGAACAAATTGTGCTTTCACTTCACGAACATCTATTAAATATCCGATACGAGTTTAATTTAATTCTTGGAAAAAAAATTTGCAATATACTGTCGTCCAAAAATTTTCACCAACTCTGAATATCAAAAAATATATTCACACTAAACTAACTTTCCTTTCAATCTCACCGTTGACGAAACTCGTTTTAACTATCATTCTCTACACCTACACTCTGCTCCACAAAGCCAAGTCCAACGGATTTCTAATATATACGTCATCTCTCCAACGCTTTCACGCGTATACAGTTCCATCGAAAAAGAAAAAGAAAAAAAAAAAAAATCTCAAAGGTCGTAAGGTTAATCGAGTCGAGCTTGTTCGATTTCGAAAGAAACGAAAATTGTTTTAACGCTGCGGCGCACCCTATATTACGCCCTCGAATCTGATTATAATTCCAAACATCGCGTACGCACGACACCACGTGTCATTAAACCGAAGATTTACGGGTAAAGATCATGAAACGCTTCGGGGGAATCGCGATGTCATCAACCTTTCGTAATCGGCCGTGTTTCGCTATCGAAACCGGCCAGCATCGATGATACTTTCGGCCGATCGCTAAACCGAGATAAAACGTATCCTATTCGTAATCTCTTCTTGATTCCATGACATTCTCACTGGAATAGTTTCGAGAACAAACGCAAAGACACTCGAAGACGCGGGAATAATTGCCTGGAGATCGAAAGAGGTGCAGGTACACTTGGCTCGGGCATCGTGATCTTCCTTTGCGGATATTAATTGTCTATTGTCCAATTGCATGGATGCGCAAAATCCGATCTTTATGGCATCGACAAGCTGTGGTTAAAGAATTCCTCGAGATGAGGCTCGAAGGTGAATCGCCAAGTGTCGAAGGAAAATTGATGCCGTGTCGATTTTCAGTTTCTTGTTCTACGTGTGGGATGATGGATCGAGAATGGATCAATGATATATCGTTTGTTGAATACACAAACGATCTCTGTCATTTTCAAATCCGATGACACGGAAGCGATGTGAAATTTGGGACAGATTTGCATATTGATATCCTTTCATGGGTATACTTATACGCGTATTATTGTTATTCTGATTTATATATTTCAAGAAATATATTTTGAATCTCTTTATTCTGAATCCATTAAGAAACAAATATTGTAGGTCGTATAATTGAATATTTACATATATATATATATATATATATATAT